TCATCGGGTATCGGGTCCGATTTTCAGAATCGGGGCATCGGGGTATACCCCCGATTCGGGGTATACCCCGATCGGGTGAAGTTCGAATTCGGAGAATCCTGGACAAGAAAAATGAAAAATGGAGAGGGATAATATTAATCCGTATTAATCAATAGCGTTGATGACTTAAAGGGAAAGGAATCTTTACAAGTATATATAATATGGCAAAATTTCAAATGAAAAGTATTTAGGATTGTGCAACTTTATTAAAAAAGAAGAGATATAAAGAGAAATTCAAATTTCGAGACAAATTTTGAGAAAATAAAAAATATATATATATATTATTCAAGTACAACTTTAACCCCATACCAACTGATCCATGAGATACAAATATTATTGGGAAGGCTCTGCTGGATCCCTTACAAACGATGTGAATATATAAAAATATATAAAACCCAGGTTTAGATGCAGAGAGTCGGCAAACTGTTGTCGAAATTGGTCATTGGGAAACTTGGAAAAAAGTATCGATTGAAAATTTGAATGTACGAAGGGGATGCAGTATTGATAATGAGTGTCGTAATATGAAGTTTTCTGTATAGTTGCCTGGTGACTACAAGCATATTATGCTACATAAAAATTCTGAGGCTCCTTTTTTGTGCCTATCACGAACTGGTTTATTGCTCGCATCCTCAAAGCACTCAAAGCACAAATATYTTTTCAAGTTTATWCTATTCAATTCATATCTTGTTTTTACACAGTGTTTATTTCTATAATACACTTTTGAGCATGCTTACAATTAACATCTGATAAAAAGTTTGATCTACTATCCGGTTCTTCTCTTCCTTGTTCTATTTCGTAGTATTTCTTTTGTTCCTTTTCAATTCTTTTACTGTTTTCTTCTCTTTGCACTTTGGTGGATTCTTCATAATTCTGTCGTCGTCATGACTCTTTTGCACTATGCATTAAAAGTAATAATTAAATATATATTATTAAACTTTCTCGCGTAAGAGCGAGATTTAGAGACCAGACAGTTACAGTCAAAGAAAAAGCACTCTTTTAATTGAAGCTTATTTATCAGTATACAATATACACTAACCTTCTTTACCTCTTGGCTCGTGCACCAGGGTTGTGTGCAGGGAAATACTTTGTAATGCATCATAGTTCCTTGTTCCTTTAACAAAACACCTGAAATTGAAAATCAGACGGGAAGCATCCAGGCATTGATGTGAGAAAGCGAACCATGCATATATGATTAACTACCTGTCTGTTACTATGTATCCTATGTACACTGCAAACCTCATAAACACATGAATCGTTTCTCGTAACAATGCTTGGATACCTCCCGTGTAACCCACAGAAAT